GTGTGGGCTGTTTGTGCAACGGGACTTGTGCGTGGTGCGTGGTGCGGGACTTGTTGATTGAACCTCTGCACTACTGCAATGGTATTGTCAAGGTCTCAAGCTCCAAAGGCCACTTTCATGGGGGCTGAAACGGAGGGAGGGAAGGGGGAGGGAGCCCCCCAAAAAATAAAACCCTTATTAAGCCCTTATTGAGGCCTTATTTAGGGCTTCTTTGGGCTCCCTCCCCCTCCCCTCCCACCCCAGCCCCCATAAGACTTGGCTTAGGTTACTTGTGGAACTTGCCAGGGTTGATCGAAGGGCGGGAACAATCATTCGAGTTCGTGGTGATCTCGGCGCGACGAGGAGGTGGAAAGGGTGCCCCTGCTCCTCGCGAAGATGAAGGTGGGTGAGAGCTGTTGGGTGGGAGTCCTGCTGTGCAGCTAGATGCAGGCCCTATGCTTCCACGCCGAACGTCAGGCTCCATGTCTTGACTGCTATTGGCTTAGATCTGTAGAGACTTTTTGATTTTTTGGAAATCAAGTCGTGTTTTCCACTACACCCCCAAAAAGTGAAACTCACTTTTTGCAGGGGGTCGTTGCAGCAACCAAGATGTTCATTGGTGGGGGGATAAATGAGATAAACTGAACCAGGTCCCCCAGTGCCCTTCTCTCCCCTTTTTTTGGGGAGGGTTCCCCCAAAATAGAGGGGGAAAAAAAAAAGCGACAAAAGTTGGTATCCATTGGTTCCCTTCAACTGGAGGACCTAGTCAAACATGGGGCTCTAAGGGACCTCCCCGAGCCGCAGGTATCGGCTCTTGGCGGAAGCCCCCGGCCTCCCGTGAGACGCGCGAGACGGGGGAGTGGCGCCGTGCCCGGGCCCCTGGGAAACGTCGGCGTCCTGGTTACCGTTTGGGGGGGGGAGGTGGTGGACTCTTAGGCCCGATTTTGAAACCTCCTTTTTTAAAAAAGGGTATTGTTGCTTTAGGGCCTTTTGTCAGTTTTTTCTTCTTCTTTTTCTTCCTTGATTGTTCCAGGCTGCAAAACAGACCCTAAGCGTCCATGGCACCGGGGGTAAGCAGCTAAGCAAAAGATGTGTGGGGTCTTAGTGTGCTGCTCCCTCCCGGCATGGCATGAATTGTCCCTGTCTGGCGTGCCATGTGCTGCCACCCTGGGACACTGCCAGTGCTGCGAGCCCGCCCCGTGAAGTGGGGCTGAGCTGGCCAGGGCGGCTCCATGTAGGGCATGCCTGCCGCAGGGCGATGAGGCGCCCATGCGACGCAGCGACTCAAAGGAGGCGCCGAGAACGCCGCTCAGTTGTTGTTTTTCTTCCCTCAGTTTTCAGACCTTAAAAGGAGACCTCCTCCAAAAAAGGAACTGAATCTCAGTCTTTGATTAGTTGGGCAGCTAGAATCCATTGGTTCCATGTTTGTTTCAAGTGTTCCGGAGTATATGGAGGCCCGGTTTGGGGCAAGACAGGCCAGCCTGGCCACGTGTTGCGAACCCTCCAGTGCTGAAGAGTTCATGACTGGCGGGCTGAATGCTTTCTGAACTAGAAATGGGTTGCGTTGCATTTTTGAGCCAACTGTTGATAGACGCGTCAGCCACCCCAATGGCCATCGAAGGGCCCAAGATAGCGCAAGCGAGGCCTCTTGCAGAGCTGTCCTTCTTATGTGGGGCAAACTTCGGGATATAAGCAAAGAATCAACAAGGGCACTTGCATATCGTGCGGACTGATGCCACTATAACTTGGTTTGTTCTTCCAAACTACGTATCATTGCAGCAAGTCCTCGGCAAGACAGCCGGGAACCCCAGCGCCCAATGGTCCTGAGAGTTGCACGCGCGGAGAGCAGCAGCTCCTTTTCGCGCCTCGGCGCTGGATATTTCTGGCACACGTTTGCCGCGGTTCACCTCATGGGCCCCTCCTGCTCTGAATGAGTTTCTGGCTCTCAGTTGTTCAGTGGCCCCCTTTTTCCGTTTTTTTGTGTGTGTGGTGGCTGCCTTCCCTTTTTTTTTCTCCAGGGTCACTGAACAACTGAGGGTGTTTCCTGAGCAAGCAATCGCTTGAGAAGAACAGCAGGTCTGTTAGCATCACCGGGCCTTGCCAGGAAGATGCCCCACGGCGCCAGGCAGGAAGTCAGGGCAGGAAGCAAATGAGATGAGGATCTGCTCATTTTACTTGGCAGCATACATATTTAGTATGTACATATACATCTCATCTACATATATTTATTTAATATATCATCACCTTTCTGTTCCCGGGCCTGTTTTCTCGGATGTGTTTTCTCCATGTTTTCTCCCGGCCCTGTTCGGACCTTGACAAATTGGCCCCTTGTTTCGGCGCGGCGTGCGAGGAGTGCACCAGAGGGGTGTTTGGTCCGGCCTACGTGGCCATGGGTCGCTGGGGATTTGAGACAAACGCAGCCAAGGGGACCGTAGCAATGAGCCCTTGGTGCCAGGAAAAAGGGGGGGGTTGCCAGCAAGCTGGGTGTTCGGCAAGAAGGTTTTTCAGCGACGTGGAAGTGGCCGCCCCCTTGGCAGATTCGACCGTTCTGCATGTGCTTCAAGTACGTGAACCCCGGTAGTCATCAGACATGAAATCCATCTCTCTTACATGCAATGATCGCGGGCACATGCACACACACGCAATAATGTATGTATGCATCGGTATGGGTATAGGAGTGTATGTGTATCTTTTGATCTATCTAATTGGTTGCTTTCTATCTCATCGTTCGAGTTTCTGCAGCTCAACCTTGGCTTTTCCTGAGGGCCAGGGATCATTCCTTGCAGAAAACAACAGAACACCCAACGAAAAAGGATGGTTTTGGACAAGGGCGTGGTTTTTTGAAGGGCGCCTTGCTTGTTTTGGTTGAAATTGGCACCAAGAGGCAAACCAGCCATTTTCCAATTTTGAGACAACACCCAGAACATGATTGAATGGGGAATCACCCTCTTGCATTCAATCTGGTCGAGCATTTGCGCCATCGAACATGACAGGATGATGGGCCCCGTCGCGCGCCCCCACGCGAGGTGGGAATGGGTCACATGCCGATGGTTCTGAAAGCTTGTGGTTCAGGAGGAATCTCCAATATGGTGGCGTTCCCTTTGGTTGTACTTCAAAAAACCCACCAAACAGAAGGTCAAAAGGTACCCTCAAACCAGAATGTTGTTTCCCTGAGGTTGGGTCATGGATAGATGACACAGGTTAATACATGACATTGGTTGACATTGGTTAGAAGACAAGACTATGTGGACGTCGCATAGATGCAGGAAAATGGCGGAGCATGATAAAATTGAATGGAATGGAATGGAATGGACGGAATGGAAGAGAATAAGGGATAGAGTAAACCAGAGTAGCATAGCGCGGATAGCATGAGCCGCTGACAGCCGGAGAACGGCAGTTGCCCGACTAGCACGGTTTTGTTGTTTTTCTTTGCAGGAGCTTCAAGAATCTTCAAGAGATAGCTGGCTGTTTAGGGATGAAATGAGCGAATGGGAAACCAAAGAAAACAATTCCTTTATTTACTCAGCCCAAAGCCAACCTTTTGACCTTTGGTTTCCCTATCTTGATCCATGTTTAGCCATGCCCCCAACAGGTGGATCACCGGTTGTTTTTGGGTCCTTTGGTCCTTCGATTTAGGGGCACACCCAGAGGGTGTTGGGTGGTACTTGGTGGCAGGAAGAGCCGCTCCGCCGCTCCGGGTCGGCCCGCGAGGCTCGCGGCTCGCGGAAAGTTTGGGCAAGGGGATTTGGGAGGGGGGGGTTTGGGGATTTTCTTTGGTTTTTTGCAGGTGGTTTTATTGAACAGCGGCTTTGGTTGATGTACTTAATGTGGCTGATTTTTCATGTTCACATCTACCATGAACATGCGGTTCAGCTTCACTCCCTGCAGCAAGAAGGGTTTCGTGCTCTGCAGCAGGCCGTGTGAGCAAGCATCGCTAATAACTAACTTGGCTAGGCGGGACATGTCCGACGACATGTCCGAAATGCTTGACTGTCAAGCCCATTGCCTTATCCACATGCTTATGCCCATGAGAGGTACTCCTTTTCTGGTTGGATGGCAGTCAGAGCCGGGCAGGTTCAACATGTTTGCACGTGGAAGAGCAGTGCTCAGCCTGATGCGCCGTTGTAAACAATCATAAGCCTGACAGAACGCATTGAGCAGTGAAGGTTGAGCAGGTCAAGGTGAAGCCCTTTGCTGCCAAGATGTCAACTCGTTTGGGTGTAGACAGTGGCTGTTGTTGGGTTCCTTTGCACAGCGAACGTGGAACGAGCGGAACGAGCGGAACGAGCGGAACGGGTGAACCTGCCTGTTGGCCGAGCCACGTGGGAGCGACACTCGCGAATGCCTGCGAGCCCAACACATGCACAGCGACACACATATGGCCATGGGGCAGGACCTATGGCGATCCCATTTTGGGGTGGATGAGCATCCGTGTACAGGGTTTTGACCCACAGCCATATACCCGGCAGCTTGCTCACGCATTCACGTCGGACCAAACGTATGCTCATTGAGAAGTGGCAACTTTTTGTGATCCATACATGTTTCAGCCAAATTTTGGCGCCATTTCAGAGACGCTGCAGGAGCCGCCACCCCGCGAAGCACGCGAGGCAGCAGGGGATCGGGCAAGACAGTGGGCAACAGGACAAGTTTCTTGTTGCTTTGGGCTTCCCGACTCCAGTAGCTGGTCTGCTCGTTGCAATGATTTGAGCCTCTGACCTGGATGGCGTTCGGAATCTCAAAGATTCATTTGAAAATCCCACTTTCGACGGCATGGACACTGTGATTGTACCTGTACTGGGTTGGTCTAAGACCCCATCATCTATGTGTGTGTGTAAGTACCACATATCTTGAAATATGCATGCACATCGCCCCGAAAAGCACCAAACGCAAAGTGATACCTACCCTGTGTTAGGCAGTCTGGGTCCTCACCATTGTGTTTGACGGCTTGTGGTTTGGTGTTTCCCCATTCCCTTGCACTGACTTTACTGACTTAGGGGTTTTTGGGAGGCTTGGATGTGTGCAGACATAGCCGGGCTCAAGTGTGCTGTGGCCGGCCTGCTGGACAGAGGCCAGGAGCAACTTGCCAGGCGGAAACCTTCATGAAACCTGGGATTGGGGTTGGTGTGTGTGTGTGTGTGTGTGTGCGTGTGACTGGAATTTTGTTAGTTCCAGAATGTTCCAGACTTTTGCGACTGGAGAGGGAGAAACATCAAGGCCACCCTACTCTAAAGGGTCCTGGGGTTTCCCACCTGCCCCGCCCCTCTCACCGAAGGCATGGCGGGCCTCATAGCGCAACTGCCGGGGGGCAGCACGCGGTTCGTGGCCGTGGATCCAGAGCTGCTTGCCAAGGGTCAGCTGATTTGGAGCCATAAGTGGTAGATGTTTAAAGGGGTCCAACCAAATTCACCCCCCCAATTCCACAATTTTCACGTGATTTGAGGGGGGGGGTTACACAGGTTTTTCCTATGTTGCCCTGATTAAAGTTTGTTAAAGCTTGTTAAAGTTTATTAAAGCTTATTTAAGTGGTGCCATTGCAACTCGGTGACCATTAAAAACCATCAAGGGGCCATGAGTGACCAATAAGGGGCAGTATTTGCTGTGGCCCCACCCATGGATTTGAATCAGTCCCTAAATCCCTTATTTAACTTGTTCCCCAAAGAAAATCACTGGCCAACCCCCACCAAAGCCCATTTTACTTGGACTCGGTCAAACCCAAAAGGGCTCGAATTCTTTTCTACCAGGTCTATGGAAAACGCAACAGGGGAATCGGAAGGTGTTTGCGGTAGAGTTGGGATACATGTGTTCGATCAGTGGACCAGCGCGAAGCAGGATCACGTATCTTATAGCAGGGCCGAACTGCAGTAAGGGGGTTGTTTGCTTTGAAAGGCGAAAACAACAACGTGTTTGGACTAAATCGGTCCCATGCTGTGGGGCGAGCATAGTATGTATTTGGTGCGCAGTTTCTGCAACGCTGATTCCTACTTCAAGGCCTTGGTCTGAATCTTGTCGCGCACTTGTTTTGTCTCACTGGTCGGTTTTGATTGGCTTTGGTCTCGTTTTGTGGGTCAAGTGTAGTTGGCTGGTTCTTGTGCACGCTGATTTGTGCTGTACCTGTGGTCACTGTGGTGCCATGGGGCTCACACATGGCAGTGGAAGGTGTGATCTGAGGCTTTTCGCCTGCCCGGACGACGTTGCGAGTCGGGTCCGGGAGGTCCTGGATGAAGCGATCTTCGAGAGGCAGGGGCTCGGGCGGGCAGAGGTGCTGAGGCTCTGCAATTTGACCTTCAAGGCTCGAAACCAGTCGCTTCACTCACTTACATCGGACGACCGCCCCCCTCTCGCGAGCACGGCCAAAACTCGAAACCAGTTGCTTGCAAGTACCCCTCCAGGGTAATGATGTCATGTCTACATTAAAAGGTCCATGCCCAATGAAGGTTCATACTGGAAGGCGCCGCGCGCTAGTTGCGGAGGTCGGCGGAAGCCAAGGTGTAATCTTGAGGCTCGAGAATGGACATCGCGGGGAGTTGAGCTCTTTGGAGCCTGTTTGGGGTTGACTCCACTTGGCACGTTGGTACTTGCCTGATGGTGTTTCAGAACCTATTTTCCAAACTGCGGCACTGTCCTGCATGGCTGTGTTGAATTTGTCACTTGTATTACGCAACGCCCGTGCTGCATGGCTTTCTGGGTGTCATGTGAGATACTCTTCTGCTCATAGACTGGGGGTTTCTGGCAGTCTGACATTTGTGAGAACAGCGTGGGCAACGTGCTAGCTAATGACCTCCTGTTTTGGCTGAGCAACGCTGCAAGTCGGAAGGGGTCCCAGCCATCACAGGCGATCCAGGCGTACCCCGCCCCATGCCATATGTTTGGTTGGCGTCCACAGGTGCAGTTGCAGAGCCGCAGCGAGCGACGTGGCCTGCTTCAATATGAGTGAGCGGCAGTTTGGACCCCAAAAACGTGTGGCGCTGGAGGGCGCTGAAGCCTTAAGCAGATGGAGTACGACTTGTAGTGGGGGAGGCCACACCCTGCATTGAAGGAAGGTGTCTACTCAAGCTTTGTGGGTCACACGGCACTAGCTTTTTCCTGGCGAGTTTCCAGCACTTGGTTGCCCGGTGGCCTTCCCATGTTTCAGCTGCCTACAGTTCACTCAGTTTTTGGCCAGACACGTTAGCCAACTGCCTGGGGGATGCCTGTCCAAGGGATCAGAACATGGCGCATTTGATGGTTCCAAAAGACATGTATTTGTTGCTAGGTCCTCTCAGATGTATTCAGCAGCTACCAAAGCAGTCTGGCTGGTGTTATGTTTCTTTGCAAGGCCTCAGAGGTGGGTGGTGATGTCGGGAAGGTGCTGAATTGCTGGACCCCTACGCCACACACACACACACACGCACACTCGCGCTCATACACACACACACACATACTCCGCCATTTGAGCCCCTGGTCAGGTTGCCGGTTTTGGCGTGTGAGGGGCCGCATGAGGCGGCGGATCATGATTGTCAAAATTGAGCGAGGATAGTGACTGAGGTTGACACCGGAGCTTAGCTGCCAGTTTTTGGCTGTGCTTCTCTGCGGGTGACTACGGAAAGAGCACACCCAGTGTTCCGATATACCATCCCTGTAGCACCGGACCACAGTATGATACTTGTTGAGCGCGTTGCTTAAGCTGCCAGGACAGAAGCTCTAGCCGGAAAGGGTGGGTTGCTATTCGCCCACGTCAGTTCACAGATTGCGGGGAAACCGGTCAAGATATTTCTGGGAGATTTCAGCCAAGGCGGCCAAACGGTGCTCTCCTACTTTGAGTGCCTAGCAAGAAGCCGCCACCGAGGAGGAGCTCCTGTCCGCCTTCCACGCGCTGAGCTTGGAAGGGCAAGAGCAAGAGCCACAGGAGTCACAGGACCGCGGGTGCCTTCGCCTTCGAATGTGCTGAGCCAAACCGCAAATCAAAAGTTGCCTGAAAATGATCTCCAAAAGCTCAGTCCTCCAGCACGCAAATCCACCCACTCAGCAATGTTTTGGCCTCAGACTAGGTCATGCGCAACACTGACAGGGTGTTTTAGTGGGGACTTCGCTCCGCCACACAGATCGACTCCGGTCGATTCAAGCGCGGCATGGGAGGACTATCGTGTGCTCTTCCAGGGCCGCGATTTGGAGCTGCCGCCTCTTGACCAAGGGTGGGGGGTGCTCGATTTGCCTAGCAGGAAGGGGGCTGCGTAAGGGGCCAGTAAACCAATAGCCGTCCTGCTTCAGGAGAACAAAAGGGAGATTGATGATTGTTTGAGATTGTTGGATCTTCCCCAGTTTGCACACTGATGTATATTTGCACATTTATTGAACAAACCTGTTTCATATATATCCAAACATGCATCTCTCTTGTATACCTATGAACACAATTACACATAAACGTTGCATGTGCATGTGTATATACACTCTTATTTCTATATATATTTGTATACACATTATATAAATTAATACCAATATCTACGTCAATAGATGTACATTTGTGTTTGCGTGGTGTTGGTGACCCGGCGGTTTCCCAGACCGCTCAGGACTGCAGCGTCTGCCCTGGTGAAGGCCATAGAGTCAGGGGCCCCTTGCTTCGTGCGGGTGACCTTCCGACTGTTGGGCGGTCGCTTGGCCGGAAGCTGCACCAAAGGCAACGACGTAGGTAGTCGTGGTGCGTAAGGTCCCAGAGACTTCCAACCCAGAAAGGACCTTCAACGGGTGAAAATTCACACCCAAAATACTGTGGGTGGTCGCAATCCTGCACCGCTTAAGAAACCGTTCCCAAACTCGTTCCCCCGTAAAGACCAATCCCATGGTTTCAAACATGGTTTCAACGTGGTGCATTGTTTGTCCATCCACAGTATGGGAACCACTCCGGCCAGTACCTACATGGCTTTTCGGTTTCATTGCAAAAACTGGCAGTGGGTCAAAAATATGTACCCAAAATGGAATCCTGATAAATGGCAACACGGACTAAAACCTGCGGTCCCCCGGTGGTTTAATTTAGACCCATACCCAACTGGTGGAAGCATTGCCAGCCATTCCCAGCCGAGGCAAAGGAGGTTTCGGTTCGCTGCTGCGCTCTCAGAAGGGAGGCTCGCTCGCGGGCTGACGGATGCGGGCGATGACATTTTGCCAGTTCGCTTCGGACTGGTGGGTTCCTCACTAAAAATGGTCAGCCCCCCAATAGGTTCAACATGTTCTTATGTTTTTACAAGTGTAATATACACATATATATATATATATGTGGGAAGCACAACTTTCCCTTCTTATTTGGGCTCTTTTCTTCGGCAAGACCTGCGATGAGCTCAGGCCCTTGACAGGTTCAAGGAGTCAAGCTCATGTGCACATATATACATATATACATACATACAAAACCTGTAGGAGGGCAACGGTAGGGTGCACTGCAGGCTTTGCCATTGACAGCTCTCATGCTACTGGGCCGTGACTCTTTGATGTGTTTCCTTTCCGCCGTGACCACCGTGCCGAGAGAGTCACAAGCCGAACATGGCCTTGTCCTGGGACTTGAGCTTTGAGTAACAGTGACCATACCAGACTGAGGCGGTTCCCTAGTGGGCAATGGATTCATCTCAGGGGTTTTGTGGGATTGGTTTGGCCAAGTTCACGCTGTCTAGGCTGTTCTGTTCCGTCGCCGTTTGGCCACAGGCAAGAAGACTACGAACTTCGATGCCATGCGGGACTTGAATGGGCGGAGGATTCGACATGTCAAAGCCGCGGCTTGGATTGGTCGAGGGTCCGGGCGAGGTGCGTTGTGCCTGTTGCGATGTTAGTTTTGGTGTCACAGGTTGCCGAAAGTTGCACACAAGATGAGGGAATCATGGATGCTATTCACCGAAAACACTGCTACAGATCTCAGGTGGCATCCCCAACAGCAAACCCCGAAATCCTTCTGGAACCCTACACCGGAGCCTACCTAAGATCCCAAAGAATTCGGCTTAGGGCGCGGTTGTCGGAGAGGAAAGACACCACGCGTGCCGAGGTTGAGCGCATCAAGGAGTGGCTAGAGAAGAAGAAGAGGGACGACGAACTTGTGAACTTGTTGACAGGCAGGCCGCGGCCGAACTTTCAAGCGCTTGCTTGAAGCAGATACTGCGAGAAACTGACCTGGTGTTTGATCACATTCAGACGATTCTCTGATCAGCGTCATTGGCAGAAACCGCCTTCCACTGGGGATTGACCGCCGAAGAATCCAGCCCAGCCGCGATACTTGTCTCATTCAATATCTCTAGCCTGGCCTGCAACCACTTGGTGTCAGAAGTGGGTATCCCTTCTGCAACTAGAACACTCCTGCGTCACAATGCCACTCCCCACCCCCGTGCCGGTGAGCAAAACATGGACTTCCACCTTAACTCAGAAAAGAGAGGCCGTCCATGGGTGTAGATAGTTTGAGTTCCCCCTTTGCTTTGACCCCAGTTGCTACTCGTACATCTCACATGTCATGTTCTGCTGCAGCTCCAAAAACAAGTTTACTTGCCTTCCTGTCCACCAAATGGAACGCAATGGGGAGAGGGTACTTCCCACCTTCAAACTGGGGCCCGTCGTCCTTGTCTTTATTTCTTTCTTGTTTTTTTTTTTTTGGGGGGGGGGGAGGGGTACCCGTCTTTTCATGGTTTCAAACAAAACCCTAGGAAGCCATTTCGGCGTTCCCCGGAAAAAAAAAGGACCAATTTCATGGGGTGGTTTCCCCCTTTCTTTGATGGGTATCTTTCCCGCCAATCCACCCCCCCCATTCCCCCATCCCCCATCCCCCCAACCCCCCAGCCCCCCATCCCCCCATCCCCCCCCGTCATCCCCCCGCCCCCTCATTCCCCCACCCCTCATCCCCCCACCCTCCAGTTCTAGCCCGCAGGTGAGGGCCCCGAGCTGCCTAAGCCCACGCCTCAGTCGGACCGGGCAACCGGGTTGGGGAAATTGCCGGGGCTCGGAATGGGAAGCCATCGGCGCCGTGTTCCGGGAAAATCCGAGGAAGGCAAGCAATCAACGCCCTGGGGTGTTTATATTTTTTTGTTTTGACCTCGCTATATTGAGGTCCTGGACCTTTTTGAACTTTTTTGGAAAGACCACTTTTGGTGGTAAAACACGGAGTGCAGAGTTTTTGTTGGCGAATCCGCTTGGGAAGCGAGATTGGGTCTGTGAAAAACATTGGGCCCCCCCAAAAAAAATGGTGGTGTTCCTGTTGGTCTCCTCTTAAGACCAACCGAAAGGGGTTTCCCAAAAAAAGGCATGCTCATTTTCCGGCCCACAGTCATGTAGCGAAGGAACAGCGGGCTTTAGGTTGAACCATGAGTCTCAGTCGGAACCAGACAGTTTGCATCACAAATATCAATTCGGGTCCCACTTCTTAAGCACGGAATTTGGGGAAAAGGGGTATTCCCCTGCACTTCCATTTGTGGCCCCAGCAATGTGGCCCCGGACTCACAATTGGCGAGTCCTGTATTCTTTGCAGTGCAGGGGAGCTTCTTTGGTTTCAACATGTTGCAAGAAAGTTCCGAAGCTTGGCACGACTTGAGCAACGTTAACATGGAGGGGTGGGAGCGGGCTTTTGGAATCAGAATCGGTGCGGTGGCGGCGTGCCATGCGGCTTTGTGAAAGCAGGCGGATGCGATTTGAGCAGAAAGGCGAGAACTGTTCAGAATGCATCTCATGCATTCTAGGTGCTTGGCACAAATGACGTGAGAAGGCCCCCTGCAACTGAAACGATTATACACTTGAAAGCTAGCTCATAGCTGGCTGGCAGTGGAATTTCATTTCTTCCCAGTCAAAAGTGAAGCTCGCACCTGTTCCCTCCTATGCTGGGCATCAATTTTGTTTGGCGGGACGCTCCTGGTGGAGATTGCATGCAATCACCTCAGCAACCCTTGTTTCAATTGTGGGGCATCAACTATCATCAATGCATCAACTATCATCAACTATCCTTTCTGCAGGAAGAAAACAATACCTCGGGGTAACATGACAAAATACACCAGACTAATTCCAATGGCCAAATTTGCGAGGAAGCATTGGCCATTTTAACACACATCCGCAAACCAACGCGAGCCTGACTTGCGTTTCCAAGTCAGATGTTACCCTGAGATTGGAAAAGTTCGCTTTTTATTGGCTCATACGTTTGCTTGATGGTGCGATAGGCAGGTATTGAGAACTGGAATGACCCCCAAGAGAAACAGGTATTGCCCCGAGGTTGGATCGGTCCGCTTCTCTTTTTCCTATATTGGGTATGGGTCAAAATAAGACCACCGGGAATCGGACCGCAGGTTTAGTCTTTGGTTCCATTTATATACCAGGGCTTGCGCCATTTTCAGTACATGTTTTTGACCCACCGCCATATCCAGTGACATCCCAATCCCCGCTAAAATCGGTTCTACAATGGGTGGTAAATTCACCTACCTCAAAATGGGATCCCGGTGGTTTTTGACCCACGCCATTTGCTCCAGGAGAGCCTGGACCCAGATTACCTCCGCAAGCTCAAGCAGTCGGCTTCCTCGCGGCCCGGCCTGGTGACCGAAGGCGCGTGATGCGGGCCGCGCTTCCGAGAAATTGCTAGATGCGGGCCGCGTTTTTTTTTTACTCACCACGCAAGAGGCCACCTTTTTTTTGCAAAGGGAGGGCTTGTGGGCCAATGGATGGAGGCACCTGACAAGCGAACTGGTTGAGGGGGCAACCTTGGCTGATTGCCAGGAGCCCCCGCCCCTTAAAAGTTCAGAAGGGGCGGGGCGTCCCTCAAAAGGCTTTTGTCAAAAACATGACCTCCGAAATACAAAACGCCCATGTTAACATGGTTGTTGTTTGGAAACATGTTACATTTTGGCTTATTGTGGTTTAGTGGTTGGAATCCCCACTTAGCTGCTCTAAAATGTCAACCGAGTTAAGCAGTGGGAGGTTCATGACTCACCCGGCTTCCCACCCAGCGCCCAGCGCGTGAGGACTGCGGCGGCTGCTGCAGGAAGAGGAGGAGGCCTCGGCGGAGGTCTCTGAGGCGAAGCGACCGCGGATCGAGTTGGAGCAGGCCGGGGTTGGGGCTGGGGGGAGATTCTCAAAAACCTTGGCAGTTGGTGGTTTGGAGAAAAACGGTGATTTGGATTCTTGGTTTATTTCATTTTTTATTTTTTGTTTTTTGGATTTGAACGGGTTCCTGGGTTTTGTAGAGGGTAGATGGGAAGCCCCTGTTGAAAAAAAAACAAATCTAAACCCCCAAAGAGAGTCTTTTGATTGCGACAGTGGCAGCATTGCTGCGCAACTCACCCCCCCCCAACCCCCCCACCCGGCGGTGGTTTTTTTCTCTCCACCCGCTGACATGAAGCCTGATTGGAGGTCTTTGGAAGGCTATTTTCGCTGGGAGGGCAGGTAGGTTTTTTTGACGCTCGCCGCACGGCCTGCGTTCCCGAGTGTTCCCTTCCACCACGACGAGCTGACCCCGACAACTGGCCCAGCCCAAGCCAGAGCTCTTCCAGGGCGACCGCTTTAGCCTCCGGAAGACGTTCAAACCAACAGCGCTAGGGGTGCCTTCCATTTCCATTCTTTCCAGGGATCCGGATCTTTCCAGAAAACCTCCGGAACCCCCTTGGGAAAACGGCTCCGGTTTTTGGAAAGAACGATGGTTGAAAAGAATGGACAAGGAATCAACCCCTAGAAAAACGGTCGAGGCGTCCGATGCGATTCGCAGGCAGAGGCAGCTCCCAGTGCCAAGGATGAGGACGAGGATGACGATGGAGTCGCCACTTGGCAGAGCAAAGCGCGCCGACAAGGTCCAACGTCGAATCCGTGATGTAGTCCAGTGGCACGCCCCAACTTCAATATGCCAATCTCTATTTGAGAATAAAGTTGGCGTTTCCATGTTGCGCAACACGAGGGAGGGACGTTGCCCAATGTGCCATGCGCGTTTTGCCCCGTGGCTTCCAGTCCAGCAAGGGTAGATGCTTCGACCCGAAGACACCTCAATTCTTGACTGCTGGGCAACGGATCTTTAGACTTTAGCTTTTTGGGGTTTTCCACGAAGCTCCCAGAAAGCTAAACACTTTTTGCAGGGTCGTTGCAGCAACCAAGACTTGCGTTGCTTTCATCACATGTGAAGCAGCTGTTTGCTCTAGCAAGGGCTCAGTCTGCCCAAATGCTCGCACCACCAGAAGGTCTTACCGTGCTTGCGAGCAGCCCAGGGGGCAATTCCTTGGCTTTTGCCAAATTTAGGGCATAATGCGTGCACATGCGTGCACGAGAGGCTTGTTGCCACTTTGTTTGTTTCTTTGCATTCTGCCCTGGAGCCTTTTCGGGCCGCAAGGCAGTCCCACTCTTCGCTCCGCTCCACTGTTGGGCTTCGTGTTGCCAAGCTCCACCGATAGTGTGTCTCAAAACGATGGGAGGGGGGGATTCCTCCAGACGTTTGGTTTCATGTTGGCTTCCCCTCCAGAGCCGCCAAGAGCTCACTTTGCTTTGTCCAAGGCGAATCGACCTTTGGACCTTTTGGTCCCTGACTTGGCCCATTTTTAGTCATGGCCCCAAAAGGCGATCACCTTTCACTTCTGGGTCTGTAAGGGGCAACTGAGAAAGGGTTGACAGATCTCCTTCCCCAGAATTAGCTCCCCTTTTTTTTGGGAGGGGGTCCCATCGTTTTCCACTCACCAGGCCAAAGATTATGTTTCCTATTTTTCCAGCCTAGCAAGGAGCTCATGAAATGTTTGACCCAGCCCCCCCCCACCCACCCACCCACCCACCCACCCACCCACCCACCCACCCACCCACCCACCCACCCACCCACCCACCCACCCACCCACCCACCCACTCACCCACCCACCCACCCACCCACCCACCATTCCAGCCTAGTGAGCCTCAAAGATTTCCTGCTTTTTTTCCTCGCGTGCCATTCGCGCGGAGGATTGGTTAGGCGCCATGAGCGCCCTGAACGGCCTCAGCAGCCCAGAGGAGGAGGATGAGGCGGCCGGGAGTTGGCTATGGGTCAAAAACATGTACCGAAAATGGCGCAAGCCCTGGTAAATTGGAACCAAAGACGATTTCACTGCGGCTTGCCCGATTCCTGGTGGTTTATTTTGACCCATACCCATTGGAGGAACACTGTTGAAGTTTCAGAATTAGTTTCATTCAATTTTCGGCCGGCTACTTTGCTCTCTTCCTTTTTGCCTTGTCAATGACCTTGACCTATGTTGCGCGTGACCCGCCTTTGGCATATGGCGTCTACTTGGATCGCTGAAGACGTTCTGTGAACGAATGCTGCACTGGCAGCAGAGTGTTGCTGCGTTCTTGGCTTCGTGACAAACATGTATCAAACCTAGGAGTCCCTTTGTTACCATTTTGCAAAAGGAAGCCACGGGGAAACATACCATTCCGGTATTGACTGATGTGTTGAAGGCTCTTCGCGTATCCTCGTGATCACTGCAGCAAAGGCACGCAGCCAGAAGGGATTTGCTGAAACTGCAACAGGAAAAGTTAGACACCACACACCACCTTGGAGCCCTGGCAGCTACCTGTCGAAAGACTACTTTCCTCTTGGAAAGGGGCTTGTGCACTTCCATGTTAGTCGGTGGGAGGGTAGAATAATGTAGAAGAGTTAAGTTTTTTGGAGGCGCCCGGTTCAAGGTTCCGAAGGTTCCCGCGGCTTTGTTCGCCGCCGCAGGGCGCTGCGGCATCCTCGTCCAAGTGAGCCGGGGCTTAGCCTCTGCGGGAAACCTAGCCGATGCCCAAACCAAAATGCTGAAAGAGCCGGGGGGGGGGGAAGCGGCTCCTTGTGACGTTTGGTTGGGGTATGTTGGGGTCTTGCGAAGATTGCCGTACAGCCTGGGCATGGGTTCATCTCGCAGCATGGCCCTCGAGTCGGCAGGGAGAACCAAGAGTCCGCTTTCCAGCTGCCTGAACGGGCGCTGGCTGTCCATGTGAGCTTTGTCAATGAAAAGGCGCCTGCAGCAATGACGCCCAAGAGGGTAAGTATTCTGCCCACACAACTGCGCAGTGCAGGTTTGCATCAACTGACCCTTAGGATCCTTAGGATGCCCCTTCCCGAAGCGAGTGCCAAAAGAAGGGCTCAAAGCAGAGGTCAGTTCTTCGGGGTGGCCTGGACACGTTTGTCCCACATCCTTCATAGCAGATGGCTTTCTCGGGGTGAGCCATCTCTCGGAGTCTCAGATTCCCGGACCCCCGGCCTGCGGCCTGTAGCCCATTCGAGAAGTCACACCTGTGTCAGCAAGGGGCCCGTAGAAAATGCGCCATGCGGATAGCTTTTTTGCTCGGGGTTTATGTTGAGGTGTTCTTCTTGCGCCGGCTGTGCTACTTACCTTGAGCAGGCCCAAATGACGCCTACGCAGACCACAGTAATTGCAAGAATGGGAGGTAGCTAGGCTTTCGGAGAGAGTTTGCAATTGGCATTTTGAACGTGAGCCGAGAGACGGCATCAAGGAACGTGTGGGTTTCGCCCTTGCACCACGCAACATAATTGTTTGCTTAGCCACTTAGGTTCCAGCGCGGCAGGCCAAACTGAGTCAAAAGCAAAATTTTGTATTTTAAGGGGTCTGCCCAACAGCATGTAAAGAAGTTAAAGGACGAGCCTGTGTATATGGGTGTTTCTCTTTTTAAGGGACCCCCCCCCCGAAATTGGTGGGTTCGTTTTGGGTTTGCGTTCAAAACCACTGAAAAAGGGGTACCCTCAAAACAAGACACCCACATGGTTGTCCCCATACAAACCTTCATCTACCCAGGCTTCTGATTTGTGTCTTCAAGATGGGATTTGAGCGCAAGGTTATTCCCTGCACAGGCAGTCGAAAGCGTTAGCCGAAGCATGAAATGAGTTGCGGCCCATCCCAACCTGTCGCGGGTGTGTTGCACCAAGCGCTTGGCTTGTGTCGTGTAATGCCTTGCTTGTATATATTCTGGATGCGCAGCCAGCAACAAGCAATGCCCACGAGAGAAGGCATGCAACACTTGGTGCTTAGCTTTTTAGCCTTTTAGTGTTTGGTTGTAGTTTTCATTTGACCCACTAAAAGCTAAGCTTTTACTCGTAGCAGGGGATTTGAGGGCAGCCCAGAACACTTTAAATTGCGACTTGCGAAGCGTCAAGTGGTCGGGCCTGGTGCCCCGAATTTCGATCGCCAGGAACGGGCCCCAGCAGCTGAGGACGACGACGATGGCCCGGGGCCAAAGTGGCACCGCGTTTTGGTTGGCGCTGGGTGGGAAGCTTCCATTGGCAGTCGTACTGCGGATGGACGAAATCCTGCACCACTAAAAAAAAAACACCTGGAATGATGATTCCCCTGTAAATATCAACCAACAATGGTTTCTCATGGTTTCCATGTGGTGCAGAATTTCGTCCATCCACAGTAGGGAGCATGTACAAGGGGCGCCAAGCGTTGACAAAGCTCATGGCTTTGCTGTGGCTCATCCTGACTGCAAGTAGGTTGTGTGGGGGCGGACAGCTCTCGAGGCAGTCTCTCAAGTTCGGGGCTTGATTTTGCCACTGTTTTGAACTTGGAGTGGAGGATGATTCAGTTTTCAAAAACGCATGCTTGGAGGTTTCGAATGAATATTTTGCATGATTGTACGTTCCCACAGTTGGAGATATGATGTGCCCTTTGTGTTGTTCACCTCGTCAAAATCGCCTCTTCAGCAAAATAAGCCTTATGGACGTAAAGCAGGCTTCATGGCTTCTTTTTCGCCACTGAATCAGCTTTTGGCGAATATAGTTGGGCAATGGTTACCAAAGGGTATCAGATCGTCAGTGGACAAGCCGACCTCGCCCACGGTTTTTTCTTTCGGGTTTGAATTCACCCTCCCTCCAGTCCCCACAAAAAGCACACACACACACACACTGGCGCGTCTTTTTGAGTCCCCAGGCCATTCATTTCCTGCAATCGCCTTCCTCAAATGAGAACGAGATCTGCTGGCTAATGCAAGCTCAGCCATGAAGTTTTTTTGCGGGGGAGATTCTTTATTTCAGTTGTGTGTGAGTATGTGAGTTGTCACTCCGGCAGAACACGGAGCCCGATCAGCTATGGTTTGCAGAGGGATCTCATGTTCACATTTTTGGGTGGGTCCCCGCATCACTCTGGAGAAGGGTTACTAACCTGGGTAGGTCCCCCGCCCAAAAAAGAATGAGCGGCGTAGCTGTGTGAACTCTCCGGATCCCCAAGCCTTGCCCTGAAGGCTTCGCTGTGGTGACGGCCGGCAAGAAGAAGGGCCGCAAGGCAGCTGCATGGGAGTCTGTGCAGCTCGTTTGGCGGGTTGGGGGGTTCCTAGGTTTAGGGTGGGTTTAGCGTGTGTTTCAGGTCGGTATGGGGTAGGTTTCAAGTGGATTTCCATAAATCCTCCAGCCTGTTGTCATCCATGAATCATTGTTGAGATATAGAAGCCCAATCTGCGAGAGTATGGCAATTCATGTTGCCGTGGCTACGTAGCTCTGGTGACTCCCTTACACCCCATTTTGACCTCCCTAAGTACATCACTTGGACCCTGGGCTGCCTATTCGACATTTCCACGTGTGGTCCTTGCTTGGGTTGCTTAATTGCTATTGGGTTGGATCTTTAGACTTCAACTTTTTGGGAAAGTCAAGGTGTTTTCCACTACACCCGCAAAAAGATACACTTTTTGCAGGGGGGTCGTTGCAGCAACCAAGGTTCAATCCATAAAGTGACATCCTCAGACTTGCCGAGGCACGAGATGTTGGTTAAAAGGGGAAGCCCCCCGCCACCTGGACCCAAGGGAAGCCGCTGGCACCGAGACCCCCGGGAGAAATCTGCAGGCTGGCAGGCTGGTTTCTTTTTTTGGGACATCGGATCACTCACATGGCTGCGGGTCAAAAATGGGTACCCCAAATTCAACCTGAAAAATGGGAAACATGGACTAAAATCTGCGGTCCATGCATATCCTGGTTGCTTAATTTTGACCCACAGCCACATCTTCGCCAGGCTGGAGCCGCCCCGGCGGAAGAGGCGGGGTTCGGGAGAGGTCTGCAGCTTTTTTTCAGGTCACGCGGTGGATCTTCCATCCACTAAGCTTCCCCAGAATTAGCTCCCCTTTTTGCTTTTTGCTTTTTGGGGGTTCCCTTTGTTTTCCACTCACCAGGCAAAAACATATTTTTTTGCTGGGGTCCTAATTCCAGCCAAGTAAGCATGAGCCTTCCTCAATCAGTCATAGAAGGTTGGGCTCAACCAGCCCCCCACCCTTCCCCCCAAAAAGCTGTTTTGGTGGTTGGCTGAGTAAGGTGGAACCAGGCTAAGTGGCCTGGAGGACCACGCTTCTGCGTGTGCTCGTCCTCGTCTTTTCTCCCTCCAGGGCCATTGAAAAGCAGAGTTGAGGGGTCATCGTGTCAGATTACCATTGGTCAGTGGTTTGGATTGGTTCGGGGAGTGGGACCCATCCCTGAAACCAAATGGGAAGACACCTTCCCGCCCGAAACCACCAATCCAAACCACACGTCTAAAGGGGAAGGTGAAATTTTTGGCTCACGCTCCCTTACGCATTGGCGCGGGCTGGTTTCGCGAGCTCCCCTAGAGCTTTGGGCTTAGGGGTCTTCAGTCCGGATTGCAAATGCGGAAGCCATAGCGCCGGCCCAGGCAACCCCATCCAACCTAGCCTTCCACCTCACCCAACCAGCACCCCACTTGTGCAAACCGCTGGGCATGTGGAAAACCCAGGCTAGAAACAAGTTCAAGGTGTCAATGTTGTGTGATGCTACCAGCGTGTGTGAGCTCGGGGTGCCACGAAGCTTGTTTTGGCGGAAACCGTTGTAATCCATGCGGACGACTTGTTTTGATGCTTTCTGTTATGTGGGGGAGCGAGTTAGTGGGAGACGTGTCGCTGAAGCACTTGGGCTACCGCGCACTCCCGACTAGATGGCGATATGAGAAGATCCCCGTGCGAAGAAAGGCTTGTTCCACCATGGCAAGCCGGCATGAAACTCTCTGAGAGTCACTCCGGCCGCAAGGCGGACTGGCGCAACCGTGCAGGAGGCTGGGTGGCAGCCATAGGCGAGCTTGCCAAGTCCGCCCATTGCCAGCGGAAGCTTGTTGTAGTTACTTTAAGAAGCAAGCCTTGGTCACAGAAGCTGTGTTCGTTTCCGTCACTGGTTGCAACTGGCAGCAACCAATGCTGTGCCGCTCAGTCTATGACAGCTTCTTTGTGTAAGCTGAGGTTCTGGAAAAGAGTCGCAACTTATGTCTTTGTTTATTTGTGGGATCCTTCTGCCCCACAATCTATTAAACCAACTAGAGGAAGTTCTACAGGAAACCCCTGATTTTGGTGTTTTTTTGAACATTTGGCGAGTTTCCTGTAGAATTAATTTCCCGTGGCTGGTTTCTATGACACAACTTTCTTTCTTTTCTTTTCTTTTTTTTGAGGGGGACTTTCCAGTGGCTGGTTTCTATGACACCACTTTTCTCTTCCTTTCTTTTTTTCCCAGTAGCTGGTTTCTATGACACCACTTGTTTCTTCCTTTCTTTCATTTTCCCAGTAGCTGGTTTCTATGACACCACTTTTTTCTTCCTTTCCTTTTTTCCCAGTAGCTGGTTTCTATGACACCACTTTGTTATTCCTTTCTTTTTTTTCCAGTAGCTGGTTGCTAACACGCCACTTTTTTGCTCCTTTGTTCTTTTCCCGGTAGCTGGTTTCTATGACGCCACTTGTTTCTTCCTTTCTTTTTTTTCCAGTAGCTGGTTTCTAACACACCACTTTTTTCTTCCTTTCTTTTTTCCCAGTAGCTGGTTTCTAT